TTTTTTTTTTTTTTTTTTTTTTTTTCTGCTCGTTGGTTTGTCTTCACAAAAATACAACGTAATTTTATAGTTGTTGTTGCTGTTGTTCGACATTTTTGCTATACAATTCACAAAATTTGCTCTAACATTAAGCAAATAAACTACTAAATATTAAGTGAAGTCGTCTTCTTTTGTTTACGCTTACATTCGTATTGTACAGTGATTTAAATTTGCTGCTGCCTACATTCATTATTCAAAGTAAATTTTTGTTCTTCTATTGACAATCACCTTACAGAAAAAGAGAGAGACAGAGAGAGGGAGAGAGAGAAAAAGAGAAAAAAAAAAACCAAGAACCTTGTATCAAAAACCTATGTAGAAAAGCTTAAACATTGGGACACACATTGCGATGGAAAATAATGGTAACGATAATGTAATGATGATGATGACGATGACGACGACGACGACGATGATGATGAAAATGCTAACAATGACAATAATCTGCTCTTTTTTTTTTTCTTTTTTTAGACCTACTAAGAGTGTTTATTAATTGAGAAGTCTATACGTAAACTGAAATTGAAAAACAGAAAAAAAAAATATGTCAGATTGAATTGAACAATTTTAGATGCATTTGAGAAACATAAGTTTTTTTTTGGATCTAAACTCACTGAAGTATTTTTGACGATAGCTTAAAGTTCTTCGTCTATTTTTTTTTCCCTCTTCTGTTATTAGGTATTTGTTAATTGAAAAAGATGACATTGTCTTGGAGAATTTTTTTTTTCCGAACTCTTCAAACTGATTCAAATTTTTAACTAGTCAAATTTTTTTCTGAGCTTCTAATAGATTTTAGACAATGAAAAAAATACAGTACTATACTAATCGGTGGTCAAAAATCTAGTTTTTTGTAACTAATCCTGAAAGTCCTAAAAGTAACTGTTATTTTTCTTCTGTTTTCTGTTTTTTTTTTGTATTTTGGTTTTTGCTTTTCAAAAAAAAAAAGTAGCATTGCAAGAAAAGTGGTGCAAAAAAAAAAAGAGGTAGAAGAAAAAGAAGAGGAAAAAGAAGAGGAAGAAGAAGAAGAAGCAAACATAAGTTGGGCATTCATTCATTTTTTTTTTTCCTCCTTTTGATCGTTTTGCATTATTGCAATAAATCTAATTTATTATCGTTTGTTCATTTAATTGTATTATTATGTGTTCTTTTTTCTTTTTTTTTTTTTTTTCAATTTTTTTTTGTTCCTGCTACTAATATGATGATAAAAGTTTTACCAATCGGTTTTAAATCAGTCATTTTGAGTGATTAGACTTTTTGTTCCGTTGCTTGCTTTTTATACAACCTCATCTAACAAAGATATCAAAGTGCAAGAAACAACAATTTGTTACAAACTAATAATGTGTTCAATATAGCTTTAAAAGAAAGCAAAAAAATTAAATTTTCAAAAGCTCAAAAAAAAAAAAGCATCAAAAAATTTTTTTTTCTCATTTTTGTTTTTAAATTTTTTCAAAAAAAAAAACCAATTCTATTGGAATTCAAAGTTAACAACCTTTTGAAGAGCCTAATTTATTCCTTACTCACTTTTTTTTGACTAGCCTCTTGTTGCTTGTCTTTTTTTTTTTTTGTATTTACTAAACAGTTGATGGGAAAGAAAAAAAAAGGAATAGTGCTAATGTTAAAAAAAATTAATTCTAAAAAGAAGAGAAAAAGACAGCAATTATTTAACAAATTTAGGAAGGTAAATAGAATAGAACAATGTAAGTGTTTATGGTACCATCAAAATAGGCAGTATATCAAAAAAGGTTGCTGCTATAAGGTTCTTCTCATTGCATTGTTTTTTACTGCAATAAACATTGGATTGTTCAGAATTTGCTAAATTGAGCATCTGGATGTTATTTTTGGGTTTCTGTGGTATAGCAAAAATTTCTGACTAAAAAATCAGAAGCGATAAGTTTACGGTAAACGCTTCACTGGAGCGTCTAATTCACCGACGGTTGCTCAGCATCAAATTGTGTTTGAATCGCTGTCATTGTCGTTGTCGTTGTCGTTGTCGTTGTCGATGACGATGACGATGACGATGACGATGACAATGCAATGCGATGATGATGATGGTGATGGTAAAGGTTGTTTTCTTAATGATGTTTTTCCAAACAAATTTCTCGATTAACTCTTGTCAAGTGGCTTCCGGACACTTAATATACCCTCTTATAATTTAGAACTTATTATCTGCATTATTGCATCAATATACCTCCCATCATGTACTCACTCCACCCCCTATATGACTAATTACAGCACAACACTACTAATACACTCTTAAGGTCACAACTATTTGACTCGAACAATACCGTATCAGAGCACACCAAACAGTAGTGCTGCTGTTCATCGTTCTTATCTAAGTACAAATATCTTTCCTCATAAGTACTTAAAACCTAAAAGAAAGAAAGAAGGGGGAAAAAAAACAGTGTTTTAAAAACTGTTATCTGCTTTTTTCCCCCTTCTGT